CCTTAACCACATTGGTTAAGATTCCCTTTCCAGGCTTTGGACTGGGTTGGCATGATGGATCCAAAACCTGTTTACCTGCCTATGCACAGATGGTATTAACTATTTTTTTTTTCTGAAAAGCATTCATAATTTTCATACGTAGGAACTGGATTGTATTAAAAAAACGATGAAGAGGAAGCTAATAAATACCCGACGTCAACTTATCATCGATCAAATCGGTTATATATAAAAATATTAATAATATTTATAATACGTAATATAATTTAAATTTATATTATATATGAAAATATATTATTAATAATTGATTTTTTGACAAATAAAATGTGAATTTAATATTAAAATAATTAAAATAATTGATTAAATCGAAGCAAATAATCCACAGAAATTTTAAATCTAAACAAATCGAGCGGCGGTTGAAACTGATTAATGTTATCTTTAATTTCAAATTCCGACTCAATAAGAGAGTAACCGCCATTACTGATAATATACGTGTCTGTTTATAAAGTATACAAGAGCAAAGTGCATTGGCGAATGATAATATTGATTGTTTTTTATTTCTTCAGTGTTCGTCTCTTTCCCATGTCATTGCTACGGCTTTTATTTTTCCTCCAAGTAATTAAGCAATCAGGGATGTGGCGGGATATCATTCGAGTTGGACCAAGCCTCCGATTCCAAATCGTACTGCAATAATTAGTTTGGAAGCAAAAACTTAGTACGATTGCAACAGAAGTAGACAGGGAAGGGAAGCTGGTTTATATAATTGAAAAAGGTCAAAAACACTGGAAATTTATTGAAGAGTGCTTTTTGAAAAAGACAGAACCACTGCCCGACAAGAACAAGATCAGCTCTGTGGTCCATGCGGATGGTGTTACTGAGACATCACCATCCATTGCCAGTTGCCTTCGGTAGTTTGGTTTGGTGACCTGGAATTCCAAATGTTCTTAGCGGCCGTTCGGTTTTCAACTAACGTTCTAGGTCTCATTGAAATGCCATTTCACATGAAAGCTCCATTTCCTTGCTCTAACAAATTCGTTGTCTTT